GTCTAAGGAGCTTTCCTGGAACTCCCAGAACAGGCACCAAAACTACACAGAGAAACTCTGTCTCAAGAAAACAAACAAACAAACAAACAAAAACCTATTTTGGAGTCCGTGTTGTCAATCTAAAAGTCTAATCTTTTAAATTGTCTTCAATAATTCACAAACATTTGTTTACAGTTTACAAATATGCATCTTATCTGAAAAGGAATAAAAGTTAGGGCTCATATTCTTGATCCAATGTCACATGTACATTCTTTGTCAGTTATGGCTTCATTCAAGTCCTTCAGACATTCCAGTTAACTATGCTAGAAGGAAATAAAAAATTATAATACCATGACAAGCATTATGTACAAAACATAAGAGTAACGTGTACACATGACTGTGTGTGTATTTATACTGCTGCCATGAATAAAGTGAGAATCAGTTTCATTCAGTGCTTCCTATCACTGTTTCACCTTTATAGTATGGCAATCTATAAAAAAGTAACAGGGTATCTCTGGGTATTTTATCATCCTGCTTCTTAATAGAATATTGGTGCTATTTTATTTAAAAGAAGCTGGAAAGAAAGCCCATGGTTAGATTTTGCAGGTTATGAAAAAGGAAAACACTTTAACCCCAGGAGACTCATCTTTGCCATACTATGTGTTGTTTGTGTTCTGGATAAACAAGCAAATCATAATACATTTTGAAATGAAGTCATTCTTCTTCATACTGCCATCATTGCAATAGCAATCTTCTTGAATCATTGTTCACCTCCTTGGAGACACTGAAAATATGTGTACACACTCTCCTAGGCCTGCATTTAGCTGCCAGTCTCATAGTGTCCCTGTTTCAAAGGGTAAGTAAGAAAATGGACAAAGGCAGTGACGGCAGAGGCACTGGTACCTGGGGATGCAGGTTCCTTCTGTGGATTTTTCGTTTGCTATTGTGCTGACTTCTGGCTGTTTAATCAGGCATGCAGCTGGAATATAGAAAAGCAAATATTCGCTGTTAATACAGGAGTCCCTTCACAGCAACAAGGACACAGGTTCCTGAACCTTCAGTGGTACAGGAACTAGGGGTTTGGTTGTGGGATATGGTACACGTGTAACAAATGTCACAACTGAACCTCTCTCAGCTAGTCACTGGAGACTCTCACTATTCTACTCCCCTACAATGCTGATTCTCTTTCCTCCCAGATATCACAAAGGTTAGGATTATTGTTTCTGGATACTTCAGATCTTTCTTCAGTGATTTCCAAGTTCAGAAGTTAGTGAGCAGGATGACATACCATCTGTCTGTCAGTAATAAAGAAACAGGTAGGTTTGACCCTTCTCATCTATTAGGCATTATTCCTTTCTCAAAACAGATATAGGAGTACAATTTAGGATTCATTTTGTTTTCTTTCTTTATGCATTTATGTGTGTGTACTTATATATATTCATATACATTCTCATATAAATATATAGTGAGGTGCACATATGTGTACATGCATACACATGCATGTACATACCGTGGAGGTCACAGGACAACCTCTGTTATTTCTCAGATGCCATCTATCTTGTTTTGGGGACAGGATCTCTTGTTGACCATTGTGCTGACTGGCCAACCCCATCTCTACACGCCCCCAATCCCGACCATATACATGGGATTACAAATTCAAGGCTAAACACTCATGAACATAAATAAATCTAAATTTTTTAATGATTTGGATTACCAGTTATCCTTTCTCCATCTCTCTGTATTTACTGAAGTCCTTAAAACTAGAATATTACAACAGAGTACTAGTAACTAAACCACCAATATGATTTAGATTATATCTAGTTCCTCATAACTATCCTTTTCTGTACCAACAGTTAATTTGACATGTTGAATCTTGTTACTATATCTCTTCATCTCTTACAATCTTTAATAATTGCTCAGTTTTGCCCTCAATTTTCTGACCTTGACTCTTTAGAAGAGTACTCAATTATGAATAAGATGTCTTTCAGCTTAGCATTCCCTGATGTTTTTCTTGGTTAAGGTTGTACATGTCCTTTGTTCAAAAGAATAGTATGGATGCAATGTACCCTTTCCAGTGCATCCTATCAGGGGGATCACAGTGTCAACCCATCATTCCCCAATAGGATCACTTAGTTGTGGTGAACTTGGTAAGAGGATGGTGTACAGATTTCTCACAAAAGTACAATAAGTATCTTATGTATTAGGTAATAAATTGTTTAGGACTATTCAATGATCTTCTTTCTCAATATTCTTTTGCCAACTTCAGCATCCAAATTGGGGTTTATTTTCTCTTTTCTCCATCTATTAATTGGAAATGTTTTTGAAGAAGAACTATGGGAACATAGTATTTATTGACATATTAATATGTTAAAGGTGGAAATGCCTCTCCCTCCATCTTTGCATAATGACATACTACTACAAGCATTTGCTAGTTTCCTCAAATGAAGTCAACTCTTATTTTTTATTACATTTGTTGTGTGTGAACATGCATGTGTGTGAGTGTGGATGTGAGCATCAGCTGGCAGAAGCTGCTTCTCTCCTTCCACCCTGTGAGTACTAGAGACTAAACCCAGCTTAACAGATTTATTAGCAAGTGCCTTTATCTCTTGAGCCATTTCAGTGGCCCTTGACTCTTATTTCTAGATGCCTTTTATTTTTATTTTCTGAGCATTCTGTTGCTACTACTGCAAGATGTAACAATCTCATCTCTTATTGTTTTCTGTATTTGACATAGAATTCACGGCTTTCCTAAAGTTTTCTGATTCATTGAATGTAACACTGATATCTGAAAATCTGTATATTAAATATACGCATTGTTACTGGAGTAACTGTTGATTTGCCTTTTACTGAATAAGGCAAAGAACAATGCACCCATTTATCTACATATAACTACATTCACTTCTGTGCATGCACACAAACATATGTCTGTATGTATCTGCCTGACTACACACCATTCTCTAGCTATCTACTCATCATGTATCTTCTTCTAATATCTCTAATCTAATCAGTGTCACTATTTCAGTCTTCCCATTCTTTTAAACTTCTTTCTCAGGCAACTAAGACCATGAGCATCAGTATTTGAAATCAATTTGCTTATATTCTCAACCCAGCTATACATGTACTTTAAATTTTTTTAAGCTATTTTCCTGGAAACAACAGTTCCTTCTCACTCTTATCTTATCATCTTAGTCAAAAACACCATTTTCCAAAGTTGACCAGAATGTGGGAAAGTGCTTCCCCCCTTTATTTTTCTAGAAGGAAGTCCACAGCAATGGTATTATTTATTCTTTGAAAAAGCAACCTTGAGTGGAACTCTGTAGGCCTGGCATTTTCCTTGCTGACAGATTTTCCAACTAGTAGTTCCATTTCCTTGGAATTATCAGGCTGTACAGGTTATCTACTATTTAGTGACAAGCAGAGCTCTGACTCATCTTGTGGAGCTAGAAACACTTAAGCAGAAAGTTAGTCAACATTTAAAAGAAAAGAAATTTGAAGAACAGGAGTGTTTGTGAACATAGCTGCAAATAATATCCATTCTAAATAAAACAATCGAATGTGGCAATATATAAAAAGAAGGATCTAGAAAGGTCAGGCGAGGGTTGTCTTAATAGAGCAAGGCTGTCTCAACATTCGAAGACTAATGCTTATATCTCACCTTATTAACATATCAAAACAAGAAAGCCTTGCGGTCTTCAAAATGTAAGGTGTAAGAATAGAATTTGACAAGTTTAATGCTATCAGTGCTCAAAGTTCCCAGTAAACTTTAGAGACACCAATTTTCTTACCTTGGTTAAAAAAAAAAAAGATACTCACACAAGCTGAACAGACATCATACCTAATGGTGGAATATCAAAGTATTCATGCAACCGCTCCCCTTCTGCTCCAGTCTGCACGTGCCGAAATGAATGTAAAATGTCCTCTTTAGGAACTCGATACTATTTCTTTTTTTTTTTTTTCAGTCAACACAGCCTTTATTAACACAAAGTACCATTTGCTGCACCGTATACAAATTGGCCTAGTGTGTTGCAATTCTGATGCCCTGAAGTTAAGGTTACTTCTGGACTTAACACACAGAGTAACCCACAAATACTGGCCCAGGCTAAATTGTATTTCTAGCTATTGCCCCCTGAAATCCATCTTTTGGCCTTTGATTGCACCTATTTGATACAAAGAGCAAATCCATGTTAGCTAGAGATTGATTGGAGAGCCTTGTCATGGTAGCACTACCACTGAGTTCTAAATACCCCCAGCCCAGAACACAACCCTGTGCTTTCCTTACATCTGTAACTATGTGCCAGTATGCCTTGAAACATTACTAAAAATAACCAATTTACATGTAACCTATTGTCAATATGCTAGACAGCACAATGTGCAGGTTTTTAAGAGTAAAGGTTGCTTTTATGATTTCCGAAGCTTCCAGGAAAACTGACCGGTAATAAAGCAGTCCTAGGAAGAAAGTGAAGGCTTGCAATGACAAACCTCAGTGACGGCTTGTCCATCACACTCATTTCAGTGACTCCTCGGCGTTTCCGGGTGTTTCGTCAGCTCAGAAAAAGGCTGAATGACTGCATCACGAGGTGACTTCAGAAGACCTACAGCTTTACTATATCAATGGAACATACGCTAGTGGAGGGGGGCTAGCTAATGCACTACAGGGTTCCCACCACCTCCCTCATTTCTATTGTACAGCATTCCAATAATGCAGGAAGACTGGAAGAGCTCAGAATACCTAGATTCTAAGTTTAGATCAGTTCATGAAGTGTTGCAGGACACATTTCAACACATACAAGTGTAATCCCAAGAGACCACGAAGAATGAGAATGCAAGGGAGCCTGGAGGCCAGCGGAAATCATGCTTTGGACTGTTCAAAACGCACAATGCACAGGGACTCGTAAATTATCATTTACTTCACTAGATGGCTACAGTTCAAACAGTTTCTATTCCAAAAGTTGTACCTGATAATCTTCCAAAATTGCTTTTAAATAATGTTCTTAAATTGTAGCAATAAACAAAACACAAGATGCAATTAAACAATATTGCAGTTTATCAAAAAACACATAAGAAATTTCAACTCTTATTCTGAGTTACAAAAATCAAGGTTTGGCTAAGTTATAAACATGTTTTTTCATGTAATTATTTGCATAACTCTAGTAATGCTCAGTGGCTGTAAGATCAGAACTGGTTCTTAAAAAAAACACTAAAAACATAAAAATACTTAAAATACTTAGCCCCTGTATTTACCTGTAGAATATGCTCATTTATGCTTACATTCCAGGATAATTTGCTATATTACTTATAATTTTAAAGGTCACATCCAAAGGAGAAAGCAAACCACCTACAAACTGGCATTATTTGTTTATTTCTTGGCTTGTGAACGTCCTTAATTTGTTGATGTAGCAAACAAATTTCAACTCTGCTATGCAAATGACAGTAGGAATCTGCTCAGCAATTAACTTTAGAGTTCAATTTCATACAGGCAACATGCTATATGTGGAAAAATGACTAACTGAACTACAGGTATTAAATACTGAAAAAATGAACAGTTTATTATAATTTATTCTATTTAACAATCTAGGAAGTTCGCAGCCATCAGCAGCTCCAGTGCAATTTCAGGTGCAATCGGGAATTCAGGAATCTCGGTGGAGCTGTTAGTGTAGCGGACCTTGTAGGTAAAATACATGCATACTTTCGATAGCACATGCGAAGGGATCTCTCTGAAATTGACCTCATTGGTTTCATTCTCAGCAAACTGCCCTGGTCCACTCAACATGGCCTTTATTGTTCCTGATGTTAACACATGTTCTCTTTTTACAATAAATTCATGCCCATCAGAAGATATTAATTTGACATACATGGCGTCAGGGCCTTCACAGCCACCATAGGATTTCTCCTCTCCATCCATTATGTTCTTATAAAATTCTACTTGATCCCACAGGAACTTTAGTAGTTTCCTGGCAAGGCGAAGACACGCTCTGCAAATAACTTATGTCAGTAGGAAGTGCGTTGTTGTTCTAACCCCACTATTTCTTTTTAATAGGAGACTAATCATCAAAAAAGAGAAACAAGTACAATTGGCTTAAAGTCGTCACTCTCTTGTTTTGGGTTACCAATTATTAATCCAGTAGTTATGTATATTGAAATATCATTTTTGCATGTATAATATGTTGGAATGAGAACACTCACTTTATACTGCCTGTTGATATGTATTAGAGCACTCATAAGAAAGTTTGAGGAGCATATTTAGAGCCATTCTATGGTATTCCGTGGTATCTTCAAAGACAAGGAAATAGCAGCATTAAAAATTATTTTATAAAATGAAAGAACAGGTGGATCATAAACTAAGATGTCAAAGTAATTCGACTAGGGAACAAATTCCACATGACTAAATCCCAAGATATGAAAAGGATGGAAGAATACTTAATAGGCTATTTCCTCCAGTGCCTTCAATTAAAATATTTAACAATTCTTTCTAGATAATGAGAAGAGAAATTGCTTAATTGTTTTTCAGAGACTTCTTCATTTACCACAATGATTATATTAAGTACTCATTGATTATCTGTTTTAAAAAATATTCCTATTATTTAGCATATGTTGCATTATGTGGTCAAAATTCAGTTATTGTTGGCTATTACTTTGGATTAAATTTGGACATCAGTATTATTAAAATCGAAGTGTTTCTCCCATTTACTTCTGTCCTCTGATTCTGCTCTCATTTGAAATAACTCTTGAGTATTATTTATGAGAGAATATAAAATTGGTATTTTCCTTTGTCTGTCTTTTAACTTGTCATTTTTCTGGTTTCAAGAATTTTGAGTTCTAAATCTTTTCTTCTGGATTCTCGAAGGAATATGGTGTGTTCCCACATTTAATATTAAGGAACAGAGTTGTGGTGTCAATTTATTTCCTTTGTAATTGACTTAAATGTGTCTAAATGTAATGTTGCATATGTTAACTTTAGTTTTTTTCATTAATATTCCCCAATATGAAAGGATTTACTCATATCTAATGATGTGATTTTTTATTATCTGAATTTTTCTATATCCTTTTTTTCTTTTCATAGCTCTCTCATTTCCAGTATGTAGATATCCTTTGTGGTTGATGCAAGGAATCTACTTGGGCCTGGGTCAACTAGTTAAGTGAAAGTTTAGGATTGATGGACACAAAGACAAGGATTTCAAGCAAATCATTTAATTTTCTGAGTTCCTATAACAAATGATAGAGGACAGACTCCAGAGCTCAGACCCATATCATTTCATGTCCCTTGTGTTCCAGGGGTCTAAAAATTTACAGTCAACTCCAGTAACCCGAACTTAAGTTAAGACTGGTTCCTGCTGGAGACTCTAGGGTGGAAAGTGTTTTTCTTGCCTTTCCTAGATTCGAAAGGACACCTATATCTGAGTCATGTTCCTCCCTTCATGTCCAAAGATAGCAGCACAAGCTCTTGCTTCCATGATCCTGTTGCCTTTTTTAAAAGTCAATTCTCCCTTTATCTCTACCATATAAAGTCAGCCATACATATATGACTTATTCAGATAATCCGAAGAAAACTGTTTCACCTAAAACAATTTTATTGTATTAGAAAAGTCCATTTTGTCTAAAGTAAAAGTCACAGGCTCCAGGCATTAGAAAGTAGGTGTCATATGCTTTTAAAAGTAAGTAGCATTTGAAGTTTTCTTTTTTTACTGTAATTAGTTTAAGTTTAGTAGTCTTCTACTGAGTTAACGTTATTTGCAATTCGTCTTCCTGAAAATTGTTTCCTAGAAATTAGCAAAGATATTTTGCATCTTACTTGTTAAGAGGCTGTGTAGATTAGGTTCCTGAACATCTAACTGCTAACTTACAAAAATTTTATATCCGCTAATCTAGTAATGGGATCTTGTCTACGAATACTTTTCTATCAGTCTGGAAATAAAACCAATATGAATGTCCCATCTTAATAAAACTAGCTGTGTCAGTATTAATGAACTATTTATCTGTTGATCAAATTTATTTTTATTATATTATATGTATATATTCATTAGATTATATATGTATATCTTTGAAAGATATAAACTGAAGTCATTTTGCCTTTTTAGTAAGAACTTAGATTCATACGAATCACATCTCAGTGACTGCTTTGCTAAAAATCATCGTAGCTTTGAGAATGCAGAGAATAGGGTTAATTGTTCTCTCACTTGAAACTATGCTTCTGTTTCCTGAGATTAATTAGTTTAGGGAATATTCAGCCAGCATAGGCATGCTTTGCTTTTTTGCTTTCTCCTTGAAGCAGAGTTGGAGTTTATTAAGAGAATTTAATATAGATTTTAACCCCAAGGGTTGAGAGAAAGAAAAGTAGTCAGGAAAAAATAAGAACTATCCAGGAACACTGGCATGACCTTCTCAAAGGAAAGGACCATGCCACGCCTTCTTAATGTCGCCTAATACTGCTATGGAGCAGCCTTCATTCATTCCAATGCCATCATCAAAAACTGTCTGCAGCCAATCTACTGGGAACTCATGACAACAGATGAGTTCACATTGGGATTCTACAGGTAACTTAAAATTAAATATTATGTGTTTTAAAATGTTAAGAGCCCAATTATTAGACATTTATTTTTTTTTTACTTTTTTCCATTCTTCTCTCTAACACAGAGGGGGTGGGAGGGAGGGAGGGAGGGAGGGAGGGAAAGAGCTGTATGCACAAGCACAGGCACTCACACATGCACATGTACACACGTATTGCTGCTATCTTCTCTTACTTTAAACTGACCAAACAGTATGAGATAACATAAACATAACAATTTGTTTATGTAATTTTGTTTTTTTTCCCTGTAGGGACCTTTAGAATTAGAAATATATTGTCTCTTACATAGATGAGAAAGGCTCCTCAATAGAACATGTTATTTATTTCACTTCATAACAATTATTGCTATATGGATATGCCACTAACTGTGGAGTTAAACTTGAAGTTGAGAATTTTCATCATGGCACATTTTCAGTGTGCTCTCAAGCAACTTTGCTTCATAGACTCCTTGTATATGAAGATGATGAGTAGAGTCGGTCCCTCAAGACTGCTCAGTGGAATGCAGGTGAAAACACTCTAAAATATAGCCTGTAGGCCGGGCTGTGGTGGTGCACGCCTTTAATCCCAGCACTCGGGAGGCAGAGCCAGGTGGATCTCTGTGAGTTCGAGGTCAGCCTGGGCTACCAAGTGAGTCCCAGGAAAGGCGCAAAGCTACACAGAGAAACCCTGTCTCGAAAAACCAAAAAAAATAATAATAATAATAATAAATAAAATAAAATATAGCCTGTTTACATGAGTAACTGATTTGAGAAAAGATTGCTGGGTAAATTGAGTAACTCTGTCCTCATCAGATTTTTCTGTCAATGTGACACAAGCCAAAGCCATCTGAGAAGAAGGAATTTCAATTGAGAAAAGTCATCTATTAAATTGGCCCATAGACACATCCGTGGGATATTTTCTTGATTAATGACTGATGTGGGTAGTATCGCATGTGTTGGGTTGTGTAAAAAAGCAGGCTGAGCTAGCCCTGAGGAACATGCCAGTAAACAGCCTTTCTCCATGCACTCTGCTTCAGTTTCTGCCTCCAGTTGCTGCCTGGAGGGCTTGCCAACTTCCCTTCATGATGGACTATGAGCTATAAGATAAACTAAATCCTTTCCTCTCGAGATTGCTTTCGGTCATGGTGTTTAGTGCAAAAATAGTAACTTAATGTGCTTGTTGAACTTGGGAATCCTTATGATGGCTAAGAATTCTTTGAGTCCACATTATATTTCAGGTACTACATTAGTAGCTTGAAAGGCAAAACAGGAATGCAATTGCCCGCTGGAAATTTACAATTTGAAGATAATGAAATGCAGCAAAGAGGGCCACATGTAACAGAGGTGCAAGTGGAAAGCTGTTTGATAAAATTTAAAAAGATTCCATGTAATTGGTGGAGCTTGAACTGAGTTTTGAGTTTGGGGACAATGTAATCCTAATAGATGGGACAAGTGCCAAAAAGTACTTTTCAAAACTATGTATGAGGAATCACTGTTAAGTGGCCTCTTGACAAGTGTTTATAATGTTCAAAGACTGAAACTTAGTTTGGAATCTATGCTTCTTGTATAGAAAAACCAATTGACAGTTTCCCTGCTGGCCAATTATGGTATACATGGGCTCAAACACTAGATATGTGTGGTGGTATTGTGTTCCCCAAAATATTTTGCACCCTAATAAACTTATCTGGAGTCAGAGAACAGAACAGCCACTAGATACAGAGGCTAGAAAATGGTGGCACTCACACCTTTAATCCTAGCCTTCTGGAGGCATGGATTTCTGTGAGTTCAAGGCCACACCGGAAATAGTCAGGCATGGTGAATCCCAGAAAGTGAGCCTTTAATCCCAGGCAGTGATGCCAGAAAGCAGAAAAGTATATAAGGCATGAAGACCAGAAACTAGAAGCTTTTAGCTGGTTAAGCTTTTAGGCTTTGAGTAGCAGTTCAGCTGAGATCTATTTGGATAAGAATTCAGAGGCTTCCAGTCTGAGAAAACAGGTTCAGCTGAGGAATTGGCAAGGTGAGGTGGCTGTTCTGCTTCTCTGATCTTCCAGCTTTCACCCCAATACCAGGCCCCAGGTTTGTTTTTATTAATAAGACCTTTGAAGATTCATGCTACAGATATGCAAAATTAACTCATCTTCCTCATCATGACAATAATAGAAAAAAAGAACAATTAGTATCTCCAGATCTTTCTTCTAAAAATCCCCAGACTTTCCAAAGTACAGAAGCTACTAAATAATTCATGTCTGAGCTTTTTCCTAACTTTATTGAAAGGTTCCACTTTAGCATATATTTTACTTATACTCAAGAGAAAATTCTATGATATGTAACTATCAGATGTTCTAAAAAGGTAACAAATAAATGTCCACTATCATTTGAAGGTTACATTATAAGTCAGAACTATTTTTCATATAAAATAACTGAGTCAGAGCTCAAACAAGCAAATAATTTTCCAGAAATAGAGGGTAGATGAAGACAAATTCATCTACTTTCATAAACCCACATTCTTCATAAAGATTGGTTGTTTGATTTCACAAGATAAAAAAGCCAACATGCAATTTGTCAACAATTTTTTCAAATTAAAAATTGAATCCAGATACATTAACATCTTAATGTACTTTTAACACATACATTAAATGGTGTTAAACAGACTATATATATATATATATATATATATTTATATATATATATATATATATATATATATATTTCAAGCTTTGGCTAATTATAAATATCCAATCCATTGTTAACATATATTCAAGTGTCTCTAAAGTCAATCTGAAATATATATCCCAGAATATTGAACAATTGGAATCCTATTTCCCAAATACCTACATTTAAAAATGCATTCTAATAAATTAGACAAATATTTGTTAGGCTCTTTTCATCTTAGAAGAAATAAATGACATGATTTCATGGTTTTATATTACTCACTTGATAGCATCAGATGTGTTTCCAACTCCCATTGAATCTATGTAGCTATCCCACAGTACAAAGATGAGGGACTATGGTGAAGCTATGAAGAAAAGGAGTGTCATGTGCTCTTAGCCTTACTAACCTGGAACACTCCTGTGGTTTCAGTGATAGTGGCCCCCATAAGCTCATGTATTTGAACAGTTGGCTCCCATTGGTGGCACTCAGGGAAGATTATAGAATCTTCAGGAGGTAGTGCCTTGCTGAAGGGTGTATAAACATCACCGGGGATAGGTTTGGGGGATTTATATCTATCCCTACTTCCTGTTCCCTTCTGCTTCCTATTTGTGGATGAAAAGGCAGCTAACCCGTTTCCTGTTCCTGCAATCTGTTGTCATGCTTTCCCCACTCTGATGGACTCTGTCCCTTTAGAACCACAAGGCAAAGGGAGTTCTTCCTTCTTTAAATTCATTTGGTCCTGGTATTTTATCAGAGGAACAGCAAAGTAGAGAGTCTTGATACTACACAGCAAGATTTCATGAAGATTAAAGAGAAGCATAAACGTTTGCTCCCTTTCAGCTGAAGTGAGCATGTAGAATGTCTCATGTTCATTTCATGCAGAATAAATAACAGCATAAACATTCCCTCCCTTTCAGCTGAAGTGAGCGTGTAGAATGTCTTGTGTTCATTCTCACAGTGAGTGTGTTTTCCATACTGAGGCAGAAGCTACTGTAACTCTGCAGGTTCTCCATCACCTTGATTTATGCTGAGATTTTAGCTCCCGAAAACCCCCTTAGGGCCAATCTGCAGGAGACATGATTGTAATGTGATTGCTCTCCAGGAAAAGGGAGACTATAATTTGACTAGTGTCCTGTCTGCTCTAATAAGTCATACTAAGGACATTTTCCCAACCATTCCTGCATTACTAAGAACCTGGCTTGTATTTCACCCAAAGGAGAGCTTTAAAGCCTTGCAGAATATGTTTAGTGCTAGAGAAGATTTCTCCTCACTAGCCATTTAATTATATTACACATTTTTAAAGAATGTTTATGCATGTATTTTTGAATGGAAAATATAAAATGTTTCTGAATATTACATATTTTTAAAGAATGTGTTTATGCATGTATTTTTAATGGAAAATATAAAATGTTTCTGGATATGTTGAAGTATGCAAGAATATCTTCGTTGTTTCTTTGGTGATTTTTTTCAAAAATTTTAGTTAGACTCCCAAAACAAAACAGGTTATTGCCATTGTTGTGGTTACCTATCAAAACTGATGTGTATGTATCAAAACTATATGACTGAAGAGGCTACACATATTTGTCACATGACTTGAAGAAATCAAATGGGTTCTGACCAGAAAACTTCCTCTAAGGTGTTTAGATTGTTTAGGACCAGAAGGTGCTGTTTAGGAGGCTGGTGGGGGGGGGGGGGGGGGTGTCATTCACACTCTCACTCAGCTGTGAACCCTATGAACCACATCCAGGATGTGCCTACTACTGGGGACAATAGTGGCATGAATGTTCTAGGAGTAACCAAGTACTTTCTGATTGGATTTAAAGCCCATTCCACATGAGGAAACACATGCAAATCTGACTAAGAATCTATGGTTGGGGAGGTCATCATTCCTGGGTGTGAACCTACTACTGTAATTCTGCATATTATCAAAATGCCCTCTAAATTCCTAACTCTGTGCTTATTATAGAATAGTGCAACTTTCAGACTTATCAGAGGAGTTTCTTTGTGAAGTGGACAGTGATTAATGCAGAAAGTCACAAGTAACAAAGTTCAGAAAACAAATATCTGTGGATACTCAGGCAGAAACTGGACATGTATATCTCATTCATTTCCAAAGGTCCAGGGATCAGGGATCAGAAAGATTGTAAAGACCAGAAGTCAGGGAAGACTGGCAGTGAAACAGTCTCTTCTGGATATGACAGGACTAATACACTCATGAATACATGTCATCCATGATTGCATGCACAAGATCAAGCCAGTTAACATGATAACATGGAGTAGAAAAAGGTCCCAAATCCCTACCAACAAGTGAGAAGCATGGACAGTGATGTGAGAGGGGCCAGTTCTCTTTGGATAATACTTTCCCTAGGCAAAAGAGCCTGAACTGTAGTAAAAGATAACTGAACAGGCTAGGGAAAGCAAGTCAATAACCAATGTTCTTCTACGTTTCCTGCATCTAACTCCCACCTTGAGTTTTTGCCTTGCTTCTTCGATGATGGACTACAACCTGTAAGTCAAACAAACCCTTCCCTCCCCAAGTTAGATTTAATCACTGCATTTCTATAGCAACATAAGTCCAACTAAGACATATATAGTAATACATTCACAAAGAATTAGTAGAAATATTATATATACTTTAACTTTAGTTAGTTTAATTTGTTCTTGGACCTTCGTATCTTGATTGCCCTGTGAATTTTGTGTGTTGAAATTTACAGTTCAGTGTCCCAACCAAACCTGATTTTCTGTATGTATTTTCTGATCACCAAACTTAAAACTTTCTCATGTTGATGACACCCACACTGACCAGTCTCAGCCCCAACCTCCCTGTCACCCTTTCCTGTTCCTGATTTTAGTGGAATGTTTTGAGATTTTTTTTTTCCAATTTCACACAGAAGCAACTGTAGATTTTTCATGGATAGCCTTTATTGTGTTGAGATATGTTCCTTCTATGATGAGTTCCATTTGGACTCTTAACATGAAAAGATACTGGTTATTGGTTATTCTTTATGTGAAAATAGATAATATCCTGGAGTAAAAATTACTATTCATGTTTTCTATCTTACACATTTTATAACTTAGTACTCAATAGCTAAGTAATAAAAATAATATCTGTATAATGAATAAAAGATGATAAAAATTCTAATATTTGGATGCATTCCATACTTTTCATGCTTGTTTGTAATTTTATTAGTAGTAGATTAATTTTACTGAATTTTTTTCTGTGGAGACATTTTTTTCACAATGTGTTAGTCTCTCTCACAGGTCTTTTGTTGTTGTCACTTCTAAGTATGTTTTCTTCTGTGGAATTTCTGTAATTACTGTAATAGCTGCCATTTTCAAAGTGCTAAACACCTCCCCAAGCTCTAGTTCACACTATCATATTTCATTGCTAGAGGACTCTATGATATTAAGGTCATATTATCCATATTTTGTAACTGAAGAAAAATGAGACACACTGAAATTAAGGAACTTCTGTGCACATACAATCACTTAGTGACACAGAAACTTAAATTCAAATCTCTTTGGGGTCCAAGACAAAACATTTACACAGTCTCCTAATATCTTGCAATAATTATTTTAATGTGAACAAGCTTTACTCTTGCCACATTTTAAAGTGTAAGAAATTTGTTATGGGCCACAACAAACAATATGCTTTCTTTATCAGTAATCATGTTTTGTAAACCACAGGGAATTGTTTGAAAGCTGTAATGTTTTCAAAATTTGGCTTATTCAATAACCAAAGTGCCACTAGACCTTCAGCTAAAGACACATGTAATATTCACTGAGATACATTTGTTCCAACACAAAGTGTAGGGTTAACCTTTGAACATAGGTACCTGCAGATGGTTTACTCTGTGCAGTACAAATATGAATGTTTGCTTTGTAGAACTATTAAATCTCCAGAAAAATCTGTAATTCTGCAATTCCATGAGAACTACTTCTCTACAACTGTATGTCGGAACCTGCTCCATGGAAAACAGTGCTAAAGACAACCTCACATCCATACAGGTTTTCTTGGTTCACTGTCATAGCCAGCTTACAGTTATGTAGCAATATGCTACATATTTTTAAAGTCTTCTTTCTCCAGTTTCTAATGAGAGTCCACCTTATTCCCTGAGGTAGGGCCGACATTATGAACTCCTTTTCCCCAGTATCGTATCGTTTCCAGCAGTATTTTCTCATCAGAAATAGAAATAAGGACCAAAATAAGTCTGTAATATGATTTGAAATCTGGAGTGACATACTTCCACCCATTCCATTATTATCACCATTGTTGTTATTGTTGTTATTCAAGATTGTTTTGGCTATGATGGGTCTTTGTGATTCCATATGAATCTTAAGATTATGTTTTTCAATTCCTGTGAATAACTGTGTTGGGAGTTTGATGAGGATTGCATTGAATCTGCAGATTGTTTTTTATAGGACAGACATTTCAAATATGAATCCTACCAATCCATGATCATGGTGGGGGGGGCTTCCATATTTTGGTATTTTCTTTAGTTTCTTTCCTCATCATCTGAAAATTTACATTGTGCAAGTCTTTCATTTTCTAAGACTTTTTTTTTGTACTATTGGCAGTGGATTTGCGGTAGTTTAAATCAGAATAGCCTCCATAGGCTCATATATTTGAAAGTTTGGCCCTAAGATGGTGAAGCTGCTTAGGTTTGGCGCTGTTGGAAAAGGTGTGTGCATTGGGGTAGGGCTTTGAGACTTCAAAGCCCATGCTATTCCCAGTTAACTGGCAGTTGCCATCTCAGATTGTGAGCTCCCAGCTACTGCTCCAGTGCCATGCCTGTCTTCCTGCTATCCCGCTCCCCACCATGATAAGTCATGAACTCACCCTCTGAAACTGTGAACCCCCAATAACCTCTTTCTTCTGTAAGTTGCTCTGGCCACACTGTCTCCACAGCAATAGAAAAGTAAATAAGCCAGTATTGTTTCCATGATTTGTTTCTTGATATATTGATTGTTAGCATATCAAAGGGTACAGAATTGTGTATATTAATTTTGCATCTTGCTCCTTTGTTGTGATTGTTTATCAACTATAGAAGTTTTATGGTTCAGTATTAAGGATGTTTAACGTATAGAATCATGTTGTCTGCAAATAAAGAATACTTTGACTTCTTGCTTTCTTATTTATATCCCCTTTATAGCCTTCACTTGTCCTATTACTCTAGCTAAGACTTTAATATTCTGAATATAAATGGACATACTGGAAATTCTTGCTTTGTTTCTGTTGTTTTTTTTTTTTTTAATGCTTTGTGTTTTCTCTTTTTAAACCTCAAAGTAAGTTTTCATTTGGCTGATAACACTTAGCAAGATTAAGATCATTAAAGTAGTAAATAGTAATGTTGCAGTGACAAATTCACTTTCAATTGTTACCGTAGCAGAAAATAAGGAACCTTTCAATTATTCTTCAAAAAAAATTTAATATAGCAAAGATGAAAATGTGCAAGACTCTTAGGACATTGAAGCAGCTATGTGGTATTATTACAGTGGTTATAATGATAAGCACAAGCCTCTATAAATTTGTTTCAACTTAAACAGTGTATACCACCACAAGTGACCCATAATATGGACTGAAAATTATTATGTATCAAGTAGGTCCATGTAGCAAATATGCCATTCTGATATATATTGATAATGAGAGAGCATGTGCATATATACCACTGTGATAGATATTGATAATGAGAGAGGGGGAGGTAGGGAGAAATGGGAAATCAATACCCATTTTGCTAAATATGTTGTGAACTTAATATTACTCTGAAACAATACACTGTTATAAATTCTTTTCTTGGTGAAAGAAATACATACATACATGCATTTTATAAAATGTAGTGATAGCAGCATAATTTCACAGTTAAAGCAAAGTGATTGTTGCTTCCAATATTTAAATCTTAAATTCCTCTAGCGTTGAAACATTAAAAAGAAAATTTGGAAACTAGAGAGATGGATCAGCAATTAAGAGCATTGGCTGATCTTGCAAAGACACTGGTTTCTCTCCCCAGCACCCATGACAGGTATCCCATAACCCCTCTCCAGCTTCTGGAGATCTAATATCCTTTTCTAACCTTTGAAGTCTCTTGTACACACATGGTGCACATACATATATTCAAAGCACATACACAAAAAACAAAATAAATAAGATAAAAATGATTGAGAAATGAAGATTCAAGTATTTACATTAAAATCTGCTACTTGGGTTTAATTTAGTAAATGAAAGACATATCTGTCTGTCTCCTAACAGAATCCCACCACATGACAGTTTGGTGGACATATGCGTTAAAATCTTGTTTCACCTACTAAACAGCCTCTATAACTGGGAATTGACTAAGAGAATGTTCTTTTGAGGTCATGAGGTCATGTACAATAAACTTGAGACCTTGGATGCTAACTGGAAATTTATTTGTAAAAAAAAAAAATGCACTGGAGCAATGTAGATGAAGAATGGATTTTATAGTACTAGATACTTTGTTTCTTTTTATTTCATGTATTTATTTTTTATTAAGAATTTTTTTTATTTTGCATACCAAATCAGAGATTCCCCTCCTCCCTCCTCTTGACCCCCAGCCTTCCCCCCAACACACCCCCCATTCTCCCCACAAGAAGACAAGGCCTGCCGGGGGGAGACACATCCAGTAGAGGCAAGTCCAAGCCCCTCCCCCTGCCTCAAGGCTGCAGGAGGTGTTTTGAAAGAGTTTCACTCTGTAACCCAGGCTGTGTGGAGTTTACAAACAGTAAAGGATAAGGCTGGCCTTGAACTCACATAATCCTTCTGCCTCAGCTTCCCAGGTGGTAGAGTTACAAGCATGAACCACTGTATCTGGCAGTTCTTAATTTTAATGGCATTCATCTGTCCATGGGAATGCTGAAGGAGCATAGTCTACCATCATAAATGTACTTCTAGCATAAAATATGACTGTTTTACACTATAGTTACTCTATGGTTATCTACTTCAAATTCACAACTACACATTTACTAATATCATTTAAAACTAAATCTACATGTAATTCAAGGAAACAGAGCATTTAGTGCTCATTTAGTATATATTTTGGTATCAATGGATTAACACTTATCTAACAATTAACTATGGCCAGTCTTGTTCTGCTTAACTGATTAACCTTCCATTAGACAATGAGTACTAGAGAGCTACATAATCACTTAACATTGTATTCCCAAAGCCCCAGCTCAGTGAAGGAGCTCTGAAATCCTCACAGGCTCATTCACTATGAAATAGCATTTTCATTTTCCAGAGTTCCAGACACACCACCAACAAATGCAGAGAGCTGACCTTGTTCTTGATAATATCTGATTGACAGCTCTTTTGTGTTGAGGATGAGCATAGAGCAGGGAGTCTGCTGGCTCTGTCTGAAGTCAGAAACCTTCCCTAAGTGTTCTGCTATTTTACTATTGTCCAGAGATGAGAGGGTCAGTTTTTATGTTTTCTCTCCAGCTGAGTGCTTCAGGTAAGTAATTTCAATCTTATCTACATTCCTCAAATTTTTAGGTCTTCCATAATCTATGTTTAAGAATTTTAATTTTTCCCATATGATATAGATTCTCTTTTGTGCCAAAAAAGCTATAATAGTGAATGACACTTATAATTCAGATGAATAGCATGAATCTTACAATATGGTTTTCTTTTCAGCTTCTATGAAGTAGTCTTCAGTTCCTAAGAAAATGCGTATTTTAATATGGTTCTTATATCTTTTTACTATTAGTTCTAAAATCTCAGCTTCTTATTTGGATGGTGAATGCCAACATAGTGGAAGCTACTGAATAAAACACACTCAGCCACATTAGCTTTCTATATTTAACACACAACTACAGCATTTAATAAATGTCAGTGTAGTATAGTAGTTTAAACTATGTTCTGCAGGCATTTATATAGAAAATTTTGTTGCAACTTTTCATTCAATTAGTATAATGTGTTGACTTTTCCCACCAGGTCCAAGGAACCATCTTCCCAGCTCCAAATTTCAATCCTGTGATGGATGCCCAAATGCTGGGAGGAGCACTCCAAGGATTTGGTAAGCTTGGGAAATTCCTGCTGTGGTTATTGTGTTGTCCTTCTCTACAACGTGGTAACATGATATCAAGAGTGAAAAAAAAAAACCTAGAAGACAGACACAACAGCGTAGAAGGAGAAGAAAATAATAGGAGACTATGATGCCGAAGAGAAATTGCAGTTTGTGTAGTCTGAAATCCTGAAATGAATCCCTCATGTCCTCATGCCCTCAAATGCCTCACTGTGGACTCTCGGGTAAAATTCCAAAGCAGTAAATGTAATCGGAAGTAATGCATCCTCCTGACCTCTGCACTTGTTTTCTTTATAGTCTATTTCTGTTGCTACTTACTCTTGCAGCCAAATCTAGCATCCTCCTCTCCCAGATGGCTCTGTTTGTTCACACCTCATAAATTGTCCCAATGTACTTCTTGCCTGGGATGCTATTCTTTTCTCTGGTCTGTTTTTTAACCTAAATTCTCCAAATGAACATCCTCTTTGCATCTTTCTCTGAGCACCCCAGGCTCTACCAACTGTGCCATCCTGGGCATCTTTCTTTCTAACCCCATCCTCCTTGATAATCATTTGCCTTCTGCCTGTCCATTGCACCGGCAGACTGGCCTGTGAGTTCCTAGATTGGTGTATTTGGCTTAAGAAATTGATGTTCATCTGATAAGATCAGAGTTTAGGAAAGGAATTTACAAGAAAAAGGGAGGAAAAGAGTTAGCTTGTTTTTAATTCTTTAATCTTTAGGGTTTGATGTAAAACTGTTAAATATTCATGTATTTTCCTTGGACAAAACCCATTTCTAAAACATTTCTAAATGAGCAGGAAGATAAACACAGACAATATAGAAGAAATAGTTACAGAAAAAAATTAAACCTATGCATAAGAAAGCAAACTCTTAACTTCAGAACATGGTTACTTGCTTTACAGAATCTCTCCCTCTCCCTCTTCTCTCTGTCTCTCTCTGTGACTCTATCTCTGTCTCTCCTCTCTGTCTCTATCTCACTATCTCTGTGTGTGTGTCTCTGTCTCTCTCCCTCTCTCATTTACATGAATGCACACTACAAACCTGCATATCTTTATGTTTCAATCATGAATAGCATATCACACATAGGAAAATAATGGAGTATTAAATACGTTTCCTGAATTCGGCTTTAGGAGTTGGCAACCAGTTCATGCCTTTTAAAACATCAATGATCACTAGAAAAACTACAGAGACAAAACAAGTTTTTCTTCAGAATTCTCAACTGTGATTTTTTTCCTTTAAAACTGAAGTGCAGAGCAATTTGGTCACACACACACACACACACACACACACACACACACACACACACACAAATAATAATGAATAAATAAATTCTTTTCTCCAGTTTCAACTTTCCTATCACAGATTAATTTTGACTGTCACAATATTTTGCTTGTGAGATTTAGGCTGACGTATTTCAGAGTGTCTGGAGTCAGATGGCATAGTATCTGGAGAAGCATTCCAGAGCAAGAATATAGTCTCAAATGTATTAAGGGTCTGCAATTTTGCTGACTTGGGTCAAGTGCCATTGGAAAAGACCAATATCAATGTTTTGTCCAGATATTCTTAAGTATATAACTCTGAAAGTAAACAAAAATGGACTCTAAAGCATATGAAGATAAGTAATTTTAGCAAAAATTGTAGAAAGGTGCTTAAATACGTACTTATTCAACCTAAAAGGAAGCACTTCTTAGGCATGCATCTCCTGATAATACCATCAGTTCTCAACTCATCACCATTAATAGCTACTTACCTACATTTACGTTCTCAGAAAAGCTGTTTTTGTTGTCATTGTTGATTTTTCTGGGTTTTGTTTTTGAAGTTTTCAACTGGGTTTTTATTTATTTTGTATGTGTGTGTGTGTTCACCAACTTTGGTATGAATTTTCCACTGTGTATTTTTTTAATTTTATAATTAATTTAATTTTACATATCAGCCACAGATTCCCCTGTCCTCCCTCCTCTCGCAGCCCCCCCCCCATCCACCCCCTTTTCCATCTCCTCCAGGGCAAGGACTCCCCTGGGGATTCAGTTCAGCCTGGTAGATTCAGTCCAGGCGGGTCCAGTCCTCTCCTCCCAGGCTGAGCTCCAATCAGCAGCGAGAGAGAGGAGAGATGTTGAGACCATGATTGGAAAAAGCACAGGGACAAATAGCCAAACTAGTGGAAACACATGAACTGTGAACCAATAGCTGAGGAACCCCTATGGAATTGGATCAGGCCCTCTGGATAAGTGAGACAGTCAAGTAGCTTGAACTGTTTGGGAGGCCCCCAGGCAGTGGAACCGAACCGGGACCTGTCCGTAGTGCATGGGCTGGCTTTTTGGAGCCTGGGGCCTTTGCTGGGGCACTTTGCTCAGCCTGGTTTTTTTGTTTTTGTTTTTATAATCCATAAGCATGTATATTTTCCAAATCTGCATGTGACACTAGAAAACTGAAACCATTCTTAACCTATAGCCTTCAAACTTAACAAAGGGGTACACAAGTCAAAAGTAATCTGTTTTGAAATACTCCGACTCAGCTGAAGGACCTTTCTCATCATGATAATAATCAATAGATTTTGCAGAGCTTTTTCAAACTGAAGAAGCTTCTTTTGATTCATACTTTGGTTAGAACTTTTGTTTCATTGAAGTGTTTATCTAATTATTATTTTATCAATAAAAACTCAGTTATCAGATATTGGGTAAATACCTGATCGATCAGAGAAGTGGCAGAGAAGTGACCAGTTACCTTCTCTCTCTCTCTCTCTCTCTCTCTCTCTCTCTCTCTCTCTCTCTCTCTCTCTCTCTCTCTCTCTCTCTCTCTCTCTTTCTCTCTCATTCTCTCCTTTCTTGATCCAAAAGATCCGAGAATCTCCTAAGCCCCTCCATACTGCTTTCTGCATCTCTCTATACGTCCTCTAAAAGCTCTATGGCCAATTTTGGTCAGCTGGTAGCAAAGTAAATTTTATTGTCAGTCTGTGGAGTGTCAGAGTGCAACCAAAATGTCCCACAACATTGAATTTTGTCAAATGCCTTTTCTATATCTTTCCTTATAGTCATATGAATTTGCTTTTTTAAACTGTTAATGACGTAGATTACACTGATTGTCTAATGTTAGACCTATGAATAATTCTTCATACATACTGTTGTATTCAATTTTCTAGGGTTTTTTTTTTGAGGGGGGGTTGCATCTTTGTTCATGAAGGATTTTGTTCAGGAGTTTACCTGTAATATCTGTCTCTTGTTCGAATATTAGAGTAATACTGATTGGCCTCAGAACATTTCAGGTATGTGGAAGAGATTGTAGACAACTGGTATTTCTTTTTTAAAATTTGTCAGATTAGTTATTAAAACATCTAATATTAATACTTTTATTCTGACACACTGTTAATCATTGATTCAATTTCTTTTATAGCTATATATCTATTCAGATTGTCAATTTCCTTGTATAAGTTTGAGTACATAATATCTTTGAAGGACCTGATCCATTTATCTAGACAATTAAAATTTGTAACATAGAGTTATTTACAATGTCCCTTTATTATCATTTTAATGAAGTAAATGAGTAATGGACTCTCTTTCATTTTTTTATCAGTATTTTGTTTCTGTATTTTAATTAACACACTTTAATAAAATTTTGAGATCCATTTAAAATTATTATACAATATCTCATAAAAAGTGAACAAAAACTGCTATAGAAACCAATAAGCACAAAGTAAATCAGAGAGATAGTTTGTGTGTAATCTCAACAGAGCAACAAAAACAGATGAGTATAGTAACTCAATAAATGTTATGATTATAAGAACACAGTGAAAATCATTGAAAAAATCTTCTATTTATTATTCATAAATATCTTTACAGTCTCCTATCTCCTTCTAAATCATCCATCTTTCTATTCTCTTGTGAAAAAGATGGATGATAGATACATAGATGATGATGATGAAGATAGAAAGATAGATAGATGATAGATAGATAGATAGATAGATAGATAGATAGATGATAGATAGATAGATAGATAGATAGATAGATAGATAGATAGATAGACAGATAGATAGCAAAGAAGGCATTTACACTTCTAAGTTTTCTAAGATAAATACCCTAAGAAAAAAAGAGTTCATGAGGCTTTAGATAGAAATTAATCTGTTTATATTTTAGTCAAGCTGGTGCAGAAGTTAAAGTTATTTTAGTCACTCTATTCTGAAATGCAACATAATAAAAAACAATCATGATATACGACTGCTATGAATGTTGTGATGTGATATGATAATGCAATACTGTGATATGAATAAGTAGAGGATGCACAACCCAGAAAGACGGCCTAGGTGATGAGTGAGAGACCATGTTCCACCCAAAGTCTGATAGTCTCACTTCACCCAACTGAAGTGCGCAGACACCTTGTGATTTCGTTATTTCCTTCTAGGTTGTTCCCCTTTCTTCTGTGGGTCCTACAAAAGCAGTCCTGCTTTCAGAACACGTGTTCATTACGAACCATGTATTTGACTGAACCATAGGAAGGATGTGGCGCTCAATTACTACTCATGGGCCTGAAAGTCAGGGAGGCTCTCTTTCAGGCGGGTAGACCAGATAGCTAAAGAAAAGCTAAATTTTCCTTACCTTCCAATGTTTCTTATGGGATTTTAGATGGAAGGAGTGCAGTGTATATAAGTAGCACTAATTGCAGAGAGAGAGAGAGAGAGAGAGAGAGAGAGAGAGAGAGAGAGAGAGAGAGAGAGAGAGAGAGGAGCATCAAGAATTCAGCAAGCACTTTGCTTCTTCCTACTCTCATGGGGTCTTCATTTATCATGGTCTTTTATTCCTTGTTCTGCCTCTCTGTTCTTGATCCAGCTGGGATCTCCCGCTCCCCCGAGCTCTCTTTCCCTCAGCCCTTGCCCTTCATTACCCCCACTCACGACAGGGACACTTAGCTCAGCCTGGGAGGAGGGGACTGGACCTGCCTGGACTGAATCTACCAGGGTGAACTCAATCCTCAGGGGAGTCTTTGCCCTGGAGGAGATGGGAATGGGGGTGGGCTGGGGGGAAGGCAGGGTGGGGGGGCAGGAGGGGGGAGAACAAGGGAATCGCGGCTGATATGTAAAATTAAATAAATTATAAAATAAAAAAAAGAATTCAGCAAGCATTGCTATGTGATATCCAATTGTATTTAAAGGTAAAATACTAACAGAGATAACACTTTCCCGTTAGTTATGATTAATCCGTAAAGGGTGGAGTCTTCCTAGCTACTGTCAAAGAACTTCCTGAATTTTCTGTTCTGATTCCTTCCTAGACTGCAACAAGGACATGCTGATCGACATCCTAACGCAACGCAGCAATGCACAGCGGCAGATGATAGCTGGGGCCTACCAGAGCATGTATGGCAGGGTAAGACTTCTTCACCTTGACCCGTTACTAGGACAAGTGCCTGAGCACCAACACCCTTCTCAGAGAAATGGACCTATTATTTTCCTCAGTCTCACATTTCTGAACTCCACGTTAGTTAAAAACGGTCTGTCTGGTTCTTACATGTTTCAAGGAGTACGAGCATATCGTGAAACGTATATATGCATGAGGTATATTCACACAGTGTCTACCTGCGCTTTTCCAATTCATAGAGCTTCCCCCAAATGAGGAGCTGGGTAACCTTTTATCCCACTTGGTCCAATTACGCTCTAAGTGTTGAGCTGGGAACGCCTATATGGAGCTTTAGGGGAGGCATAGAGAGAACTAATGATCACCAGGGTCAAAAAATAATATCTTTTCCTCCAGTTCTCTGCAGGTCCTCATCCAGCTCTGAGCCAATGTGAATTTTCTTCCACCTTTTCTTCTCTGCAGCATGCAGTGATGGAGACCATTAAAAAACGAATGGCAGTTTAAAAATAGTTTAAGGCAATAAAACTATCCATGTTTTAAAGTAATCACATTCTAATTTCAAAGCAAGTACCATTAAGGAGTCTTTGCTTTTGTTATGCATTTAAACCACAGATTCAGAACAAAAACTCTTCAGGCCAAAAGGGCCTGAAATAGCAATTACTTTGTCAACTGAACATTATCGATGAAACGCTCTCATAAAACTTTCTCTGCAGAGTTAGTCCATATAAATTGACTCTGTCTCTAAAGCTCAGCCTTTGAACAACCATAACACTCACAACAAAAGGTAGCCCTGAGTTTTAGAATGGTTAATGATCCAGAAAGCTCTGTGAGTGGCGAGATATGTTGAATTAAGCCAAAGGAGGAGACAGTATACCTTTTGTCCACAAGAAATTGTTACCTCAGCATGTGCTCCCAGGAATAACTTTCCTGCAAATAAAATGTAAACATAATCAAAATAGTACAGTTGTTAATCTAAGATGATCTAAATGTGCACAGGACTGTAAGTGATGGCATTTCTAGGGAACATTTTTTTTTTAATCCAAAGGTGTATCTACAACCTAGCTTTTCATATGACAAGTTAATTTAGGCCAAAGAACTTCTGTGTATCGAGCACTGCAAAATCATGACAAAGCAGGTTAAAATAAGACATGAGTCCTTAGACGCAAGGAATTTAAAACCCATTGGAAAATAACTTGCACTGGAGTGAAACCCTTTTCACTAAGATCTTAGAGTTGTTTACCCTGTTCTTTTGCTAGACAATTGCCATTTCATGGCTGATCACTAAATTGCTGAAGAAGTAGGACAACACAGATCCTGGCTTGTCTGTCACCTCAGAAGTACCATTGTCATTCCGTCAGTTGTCAAGCCCTGCCATTTATCTTCCCCTCACATTCTTCTCTTTCCCTCCACTACATATTCTTGACTTAGATCATCATGGTTTTCTGCCCAGACTAATCCTAATTGATTCCTTCTACCAAACCTCTAGTCTCTCTTCCACCTCCCTTCTGTGCCTAGACCAGTCCACTATCCAACCTCAATCCAAAATGAAGCAAAATCTAAAATTCTTCTAACATTGATTCTACTACTCTCCCTCATAAATATCTATGTGTGCACGGCACAAGCCTGAATCCTTTCTCATGGTATGAGAAGCCTTTCTTACTTCACCTTTATTTTGCATCTTCTCCCTGTCTCCCTTCCTCTTCCTCTCCCTCTCCTTTTCTCACTCTTGCTCTCTATTATACCACTATATATATATATATATATATATATATATATATATATATATATATATATATATATATATATATACACATTACCATTAATGTATTCTCCAGGAAACATCTGTAGTTTCCCACCACAGCACTCCTGCCTGACTCCTCATCTTTCGTCATGCTGCCTCATCTGTCTTCAGGAGCCTCGGTTTTCATTACAATGACTCTACCCATAACCGTACCCATAAAACTTCCAGACACCGGACACCCACTCCTCAAATCCAGTAGAACCTAACCCATGAATTTGTTTGTATCTGTTCCTCTTTACCACTGTGCTAACTTGAATAACTTTTGTTCTGCCAGAGCATAATGTTTGCTTCACACCAAGACTGTTTGATCAATGTCTGTTGAATGGCAGTGACCTCATAGCTAAGCTCCTCCAATAAGTTGCAATCAGACATTGGGTGCTCCTGAAAAGCTGTCCATCTCACCATGTGCTCTCTGCTCTAAACTAGGTGCTTCCTGCTTGAGTCTCCGGGGTCTCTGCACATTATATAAAGATACTGGCTATTGCTTTGTATTTATGTTTTACCAAGTTCACTGTAACATCTAAAAAAAAAAAATAGACTGGCTTATTTTGTACCTTCCCTTTAGAACTCAGTCCGAGGTCTAATATGGAAGAAGTTCTTCATTTAGAGTATAAGCCAGCCTAGAAAATTATGTTTGGCATAGTTGTCAGAATAAACAATGAGATTACCCACTGGTCTTTCCCACCAAAGCAAGTGTTGGACTGTTAACAATGCAACAGGACCCAAGAGATGGGGAGAAGTTTGCTCATCCATGACAAGTGTGACAGCCAGACAATATTTCCTCAAAGAGTTCAACTGGAGCATTAAAGCAATTCCTGTTCCCAGTTTTCAGCTGTAAAAGGAATGGTCAGCTCTGAAATGTGTTGATTTCTATCGATCATTTAAGCACAGTATTGGTTGTATAATTTTGTGCATGCCCAGAACAAAGTCATGTGACTAAACTGTGCCTTCCACAGCCTCTCCTTAATGCTCTTTGTTCTCAACTAAGAATGTACCAGAATTGTCAAAGACAGTGAATACCCCACATTCTTCACAGTTTTCTTCAATGTCAACTACTCCAGCAAGTTTAATATATTTGACAAAGTCACCCACCCCAAGGCATATACTAGTACCCATAACTCCCTCTCCTGTTCTTGTATGTGTGTGTCCACAACAATTACCATCTTAATATATCAACCCATTCTTGTTCATGACATGTCACCTCCCTCTGAAATGCAATCTCCAGAAAGGAAAGAATATTTTATTCACCAGTCTATCCAGAGCACCCACCACAGTCTCATTGAAATGGTTGACAGTATTGACTGAATCATGATCCCTAAAATGCATATGTCAGCACCCTACCTCCCAGTGTGATTATATCTGGAAATAGATTTCTAAGGATGTTGAGGTTAAAAAAAAAAAGGTAGATCCTTAGTCCAGTAGGACTTCTTTCATAACAGAAAGAGAGACCAAGGTTGTGTGTATGATGAAAAGGAGGTAGCTGGTTACATACCAGGAAAATGGACCTCTATAGAAACCAAACCTGCATACCAAGACTTTGGACTTTCTGCCCTCCACATTCTGAGACAGAAGCTCTAATATTTAGGCCTTTGGTATCCTGCTATGGCAGTCCAAGCTGTCTAGTTCCATTGGTACTATAAACATAGATGTGAATTATGAAGAGTTCATTTCTTCAAACTCACCTTGTTCTGAAATACACTTTCCCCTTTTGTCTCTGAGTTCCATGGTTAAAAATATCAATACCTACAGAGTAATATAGCGAGGAAGTAGTTTTCTAGAAATTATCTGATCATGCCGGGTGGTGGTGGTGGTGGTGGTGGTGGCACATGCCTTTAATCTCAGCACTCGGGAGGCAGAGGCAGGCGGATCTCTGTGAGTTGAGGCCAGCCTGATCTCCAAAGCAAGTTCCAGGAAAGGCACAAAGCTACACAGAGAAACCCTGTCTCGAAAAAAAAAAATTATCTGATCTACTTTATACATGGTCCTCCTTCCTATAAGAGTACTTCCTCCTTCAGACCTCACTTCTAGTTTGAAAAGGGGCAATAGATGTAGTTTTAGCCCAAAGACTGAACTTCATTATATAGTTTATCACACATAAATATTTTATAAATAACTAATAGTAATTAAGATGAGTTAAATAATCCTTCTGATAAAACTGGAAAGTTATCCAGGCAGTGGTGCACACCTTTAATCCCAGCACTTGGGAGGCAGAGGCAGGCGGATCTCTGTGAGTTCGAGGCCAGCCTGGTCTACAGAGCGAGTTCCAGGAAAGGCGCAAAGCTACACAGAGAAACCCTGTCTCGAAAAACCAAAAAAAAAAAAAAAAAAAAAAAACTGGAAAGTTAACAGACAAGAAAAATAATTTCTAATTTCTAAAAAAATCAAAGTTCCACAAATTCAGAAAATCACTTCTGCAGTTTCCACTTCTGCAGTTTCCTTATTGAAATTATTTCTCTTTGGAATGGCTTAAACAGTATCTGCTAAGGCAGGAAGGAGGAACAAGAGGAGAGGGGAAGAAAGAGTGGAAAACTGACCATACAGTCATTCCTGCATTAAAAGTGGCCCCACTGTGCTTCAGTTGATCTCTATGTAAGGCATAGAGTAACAGTTAAGTTATCAGTAACACTGGATTATATGAAGCTTCTGCAGCATAATCAGTTCATCATTGAGGGTGTAATTGAAATCTCACTGTAGTGTTAACCAGTCTGTCATACAGGTGTAACTGAAATCTCATTGCGGTGTTAATCATTTTATAGTACAGATGTAACTGAATCCTCACTGCAGTTTTAACCACTCCATGATACAGTTGTAACCGAAAGCTCACTGCAGTTTTAACTTACCTTTTTTCCCTGATCAAGTGTAATGGTGGGTATCTTTCCATGTTTCTTTTATAAACAAGACGTTGCCTCTTTGCCATTAGCACTTTGCATTCTTTATATGTTTTTCTTTCAGCATTTTGCACTTTTATATTGATATGTAGGCATTTGTTTATTTATATTAGTGATTTCTTGAGATTATGCTAATAGACTGAAAATGTTTTATTTAAATACATAGTTATATTTTATATAAGATGATTATTTTTGTAATTGTAATTATATATAGATGTATATAATTAAATTATATACATCTATATATTTTAGAGATATGCACTAAGAACTACAAAAGGTGTAATATTTTAATTTATTTACAAGACAGCAAATTAATCAACCAA